GGGGCGGGGTGGGTCTTGCTCTCTTCCTCTCAGCTGTGGGCGACGGGTGGAAATTCCCACCGTGCCACGGAGGTTTCCAGCGAAAGCAAAACTCCTCCGGCGCAGAGGAATTCAGTTCGCGGCTCTCTGCGGGGTCTGTGTCCGGGCACCCCACATGGTATCTGCAGCATATACGTTGTGATGAACGTTACTCGAAATCTAACGAGTTAGCAGTGTTTTGTGAACTCGTGGAGCCCTTGGCCGGGCGATGGGATGGGATGGTCTCTGAGAGTCTCTGGAAGCGGACTCATCTTTCAGGGGGTGACCTGGGTGTAATTGTGCACGCGGCAGGATGAAGCCTTCCCGAGTGGACGTACACATACACACGCGTGCCCACGCACACACTCAGCCTTCACGGGGTCCTTGGGCGTAGGTAGGCTTGAACCACCGGACTTTCACACCTGGACAGCTTCGCTCGTAGACGTGACGGACGCGCTCCTGAAAGCGCGCTCCTTTTCGGCCCACACGAGACACGGGTTGCGTGAAGGAATCAGGATTTGAGTCCGAACACATTAGCACGGCAGGCTGACACGAGTAAACGTACTCGTGAGGGTTCATCTCGGGGCAGATGGCTGAGCTACAGTCGAGATTTCCCGATCCGTGAAAATCGGTCAGACGTGACCGTCCGGAAAGCTCGGGGTCTGTGGTCCTGTCTGCTGTCACCGGCTCCAAATGAGAAATGCGCGTGCATCACGAAAGATGAGAAGGTCAGTTAGCACACAACCAGAGAACTACTATGATCTGAGTACTTCGCAATTACGATTAGACACGTTATGAAAACTTTTGGGTCAGGAAGGCAGTATGTCGGCCGCTTGGATAGTGTGAGCACCGACTGTGGGTCACGCGGTTCTGGGCTGGCTTCTGGGGTCATTCAGTGCCCGTGGGACGTCCACAGGCTACTACTCGGAACCTTGTCTCCTCGTCTGCTGAACGGGGAGAATAATGCTTCCTCCTCCCAGGACCCGGCGTGACGATTAAATCAGTTACTGTTACACACGAAGCACCTGGCACAAGCGCTCGGCACAAGTTTAGGGTTATCGTTAGCGGTAGTGTTGTCAAACTTCCCCGATTGACCAGGTTCGGTCCTCCCAAGTTATACCAGCCAGGGTTAGATATTAGTCACCATCGAAACCAGATGCCATGAAGGGAAAAGGTAAGACCAGCGTATCGCTAGGACCAGCTATGAAGGGCACACGGGAGATTTCAAGAGGCTTCACTCACTATGTAATTCGGAAAACCACCCTAACACGGAAAGAAAGCCCCTTTCAAGACGGGGACGCACAGTCAGCACTGGTACTTCCCAAGCAACCGCAAGAGTCAGAAGGGGCGAGACGAGCCGTTTTTGTTTGCTTGGTTACGGTTGTTTATGATCTTCCTGCTCTGAAGGATGGTCTTTTTGCGCCACACGGAAGGACACACGGAGACTTGTGCCCGCGTGGCCGGCTGCCCGGCTGGCAGAGGCGTTTCCGAGGCGTGAAGCACAAGCAGCGAGGGGACAGACCCTCCATGAGTCTCTCGCATCCTCTGCTTCGTTAGATTTGGGGACCAAGTTCTCCTGATATTTCTCTCCAATTTTGACTTGAGATTGAAAGTCACTGAATGAAAAGAAAGACGGAATTCTAGCCCCCCTCCCCCACACCTTGGGCCCTTCGGGAACGCACTCTAACTGGGGCGTCCCTCTCCACCCCTCTCCCTCACACCCTACGTCCGGGGCACAAGCCAGTCCTGTCGGTCGGTCATGCACCCAGCCCATCCGGGACGCGTCCTCCTTCGTCTGACGCCGGCCGTAACCTCTTACCGGTTTCCATCCTTGCCCTGCTACAGTCTGTTCCCCACACAGCAGCCAGAGTGATCTCTGAACGACGTGAATGCTCTCGTGTCCTGGCCTAATCGGAACCCTCCCAAACGCGCCTTCGCCCGGGAGCAAAAATAAAATAAACGTTCTGACTGCTGTAGTCAGAGCCCTACCTGGTCTGGCCCTAAGTCCCCAACCAACCCCATTTCCTGTGAGTCTTTCCTTTGCTTCATAGCGCCAGCCTCCCTGGATAAGCCAATCACACTCCGCCCTCAGGGCCTTTGCACTTGCTGTGGCCGCTGCCTGGAATCACCAGGGGTCTGCATTGGCCCCGCTGCCCTTCCCAGGGGTCCGTGCCACGGTTGCCCTCCTCGGGGAGTCTTCCCTAGCCGTCCCGTCTGTGACGGCACCACCACCGCTCTATCCTGTACCCGGCTTGACTCCCTCGTAACTGCTTATCCGTTCCTTGTCTTTCTCTGTGACCAGAACTCAAGCTTCGTGAGGCCAGGGGTCCTGCGTGTTTAGTTCACCAGTTTGTTTTCAGCGCTTCAAACAGCACCTGGCATGTGGCCGAAGCTCAGTAAACGTTTGTCGGATGAGTACACGTAGTGAATAATCGCCAGGGAAACGCGGGGATAACGTTGGTGTCTTCCTAGATGTCAAACATTCTGAGGATCTGGGGTTCTTTGCATTATTGATGCAGAACGTTATTTTACGGCTTAGGCTTTTCTGAAGCCACGGTACCTGAATCTAATGAACTATTCCTGGAAAGAACCAGATC